CAGGAGACAACCAGGGCTACATGCAAATAATACACATATGTAGGACTACATCAAAGGTAACAATTGAATTTAGAGACTTTACTGTTTAACAAATAATTGAATTTCTGATTGTGGAAAATGTATAGCAATTTTATTTATACAGAAAAGCTACAACATCAGGGAAATGGTTGCCTGCTCAGCAATTATCAAAATCATTATAATTACTTTTCTTCCTTGTAGAATCAACCAGGAAAAAAAAAACCCTGGTTAAATCTAAACTAACTTCCAAGCTGAAGGCACAAAAGCTGAGATGTGTTTCATAGAAGAGTTGGGTTCAGTCAAGCAATCTGTTCCCTGAATAACCTTCTTGGTGGGATATCCATGTCCACAGATCCTGCCTCTGCCTCATTCTTTGCTAAAGTGTGCTACATTCAGACAAAGTGCCTGTTGCAGAGGTACTTGTGCCTGGGAGCCTAGATCACAATGCAAATGTGCAGATGTGGGCTGGGTAGGCCTGTGCTCAGGTGGCTGTTCATCCTACTGCTGTTGCTGCTTCTGTTCCTTCCACTTGCATGTGAGGATATGAGCAACAGATGTAGTGTGGCAGGGGGCACATCAGACAACATATATAGGTTAGGAGATGTGATACTTGGTGGATCCCTGTCTTTAATACAATCTAAATTTGATTTGGTGGACTATATATTTTTAGGTAAGTTTCTTGTTTGAAAATAGTAAACCTATTTGTTGGAAATTGGTTTGGGGAAGGCAGACTATTTGAAATACCAGCCTTAGCTGAGGTTAAGATCTTGGCCATCCTCTTGGACTCAGCCATGTCAAAGGATATAGGGGTGTGTTTTTTTTAAATCACCATTGTTTCTAGAAGTGACTTTTCAATTCCTTCTAGCTCATGTTAGCCTCTTATTTAGACTCTGCCAACCTAGTTATACTGAGCTGCATTACTGCATTACTGAGCTGCATTACTGCATTACTGTGATGTCCCAGTTGGTTTGCTGTAATGCATTCTATGAAAGACTGTCTTTGAAGATGTCTCAGAAGCTTCAGTGGATTGAAAATATACCTATAAGTATTAAGGCAACATGACCTCCAATACAGAAAGAACTAGCAACTGATTATGATCCAAATCTCATTTATCGTAGATTTGGAATAGAAGATTTAAAAGATGGGGAAGACAAAAGTTAGTATAAGGGGCAAGTTTATTTCCCCAGTCTTCTACGTATGGCCAGACATCTATTTTCTATTTTGCCGCACAGATAATTCTAGCTGCTGTCACCATATATTTGAATATCTCTTTCAGAATTTTTGGTAATTTGTTAGGCAGTATACCTAATAACAAGGAGCTGTGGTGGCTCAAGTGGTTAAGATGCTGAACTGCAGGCTGTGGAAGGTCAGTAGTTCAGCAGTTCGAGACCCGAGTTGCTGCATGACGGAGTGAGCTCCCGTCTCTAGTTCCAGCTCCTGCCAACCTAGCAGTTCGAAAGCAAGAAATTGCAAGTAGATAAATAGGTACCACTTCAGTGGGAAGGTAACAGTGTTCCATGCGCCTTGGTGTTTAGTCATGCCGGCCACATGACCACGGAAATGTCTTCGGACAGCGCTGGCTCTTCGGCTTTGAAACGGAGATGAGCACCGCAACCCTAGAGTCAGATTCGACTGGCTTTCGAGCAAGGGAACCTTTACCTTTACTTTATACCTAATAACATATTCTTAGCTTCCATAGGGAATTTAAATTTTATTATGTTCTGCATTTTTTAATGTATTTCCTTCCAATATCTTTTTGCTTCTTTACAAGTCCACCACATATGAAAAAAGTTTCCATCAATTTCCAGCATTTTCCTTTGTAGTTTTGTCTGCTTTCTCAATATCCTTTGGGATTATATACCATTTAAAAACATTTTGTACCAGTTTTCTCTTATGCCTGGCTGGCTGTAAACTTGATTTCTTTTCCCCCATAAACATTCCCATTGATGCATAGATATCTGCTCTCTAAAATTCTGCATCAATTTAATCATACATTTTTTCACTTCTTCTTCTGTTTCTAGCTGGAGTAGTAACTTGTATATCCATCATAGTAAATGATATTTTTGTTTTATAATCAGCTGTTCAGACTCAGTCACATCTCTTAGATCTTCTTTAGTCTTGAAACTGACTGATAATATAGCAACCATTGAATATTTATTCCTTCATCTTTTATATCTTGCCAAGATTTGATTTCCCCCTTATTATGTTACTATATGTTAAAATCATTTTTATTTCTTGTGTACTTATCATAATAAGCATTTTTGGGGACATAAGCAGAGGGTTGGGAAGGCTAAATAAATTCCAGCATGTGAACCATATTCTCAAAAGTCCATCTCTGATTGTATGGCTTGCTTTTTGTGTTATAATCATTTCTGTTGATTTCTAAATGAATAAATAATTAGTTGTTGTAGATTTTCTGAGGTGTATGGCCATGGTCTTGGCATTGTAGTACCTGACATTTTGCCAGAAGCTGTGACTGGCATCCTCAGAGGTGTAATACAGAATGATAGAATACTCAGTATCTTTCTGTGTTATACCTCTGAGTATGCCAGTCACAGGTGCTGGCGAAACGTCAGGTACTACAATGCCAAAACCACGGCCATACAGCCCAGAAAATCTACAACAACTAATGAACTCCGGCCATGAAAGCTTTGGACAATGTATTGAATAAATAATTGTCTGTAAGTCAGTCAGTACCTTTATTGGCATAAGTTATAAACATAAACAACAGAAAAGCAGTTTTTAACACAGAGAAAAAGGATTTAAAAAGTTTTAGATCAAAAGTTTTAGCCTTATGCTCTCTAATCCTCATAGCAATTAGAAGATACCTTGTCCCCCTGTAGAATGATCTTCAGATCTTCTTCATAAGGATGCACTATAGGCCTTGCATATTCCAACATATTTCATGTTCTCATTTTTGTAGGGATGGTTTGTTGAGAATCCTTTGACCCTGTGTTACTAGTTAAAATTGACTAAATATAAGATTAGTTCCAGCTAGCTTTTCTCATGGTAAAAACAAAGAAAGGAAGTGTCTCCTTTGGCCATCAAAACCAAAGAAACAAACAAACAAAACCCCAAACCAAAAAGACAAACAACAAACAAACAAACAAGTAACCCCCACTATGCTAGGATTAATAGAATCTGAAAGGATAAAAGCCATGTGAGACCGTTGCTGTAGTAGGGATGGGAATTGTGTGAAACTGACTGAAAAAGCCATCTAGGTTCAGTTCATTGTCTTTCGTGCTGGTGTTTTAGTCTCAATGTCTACCTTGTTGTAGCATGGCACCTAAAAATTACCAGCAAGCCCTGGCCTTGATATTTGCCATTGATGAGATTAATAAAAATCCTGGACTCTTGCCCAATGTAACCTTGGGATTCCACATCTATGACAACCAGTTTAATGCATGGAACACTTATGAGACAATTCTTGGTATGTTGTTCATACACCAAAGGAAATCACTCAATTTCAAATGCCACAAGAATACAGAGGTGTTGTCTGTCATTGGGGGATACACTGTTGAGACCATCATCCAGATGGCCACTATCCTGAGTATCTACAAGATTCCACAGGTAAGTGCATATGTATTCAGAGCTCAATGGATGACTCTTGCTGTTCAAGTGTACTCTGATCTAATATGCCTTGATTGAATAATGTGATCAAATACACATAACATGAATGACGAAGCAAGGAGTACAGGAAAACCACATTGCTCATGTTCCTGTTTATGCACTGAGACGTGTATCTCAAGATGATGGCTGAGTGAATGGGATGAATTCTGCCAATCATTTCTACAAATGGAAAAGATTATGGGTTTCTTTGGTTCCCATTTCTGCTGTAGACCCATAGTGTTCCTGGTGTCCAATGGGTGAAATAATTTGGAAAGATCCCTGGGGTGCAGTGGAAGAGTAGTTGGAGGGAAACTCCATTCCAGTCCTGTAAGATCTCACATGCTAACCAAGATCATAAGTTGCCTGTGTCTTGACAGTTCACACACACACACAAGGAAATGCCTTCTGTTAGCAGACACAAATAGTGGAGTTCAAGCCACTGTGTACATTTGACTAATGTGAGGGTTTTGGGGTGAGGTGGGGGATAATGACACTATATCATCGTGGAAAATCTAAAACTATTTTACCTTTCCCAGTGACACTTTTATGTCTTCTCCCTCCTTGAATTTATTACTATTATGACCAATCTGCCTGTCTGACACTTGAATTGTATATCAAATATTTATGCTTGTTTCTCCAGTTTTCTCCATCAGACATACACAATAAACTTTGCAATTTACTAATGAGACCCTTCTGATTAATTCTATCTGTATCTACATGGATGATATAGCTATTGTTATAGACATGTACATACCACGATGTAAAGTTGATGAACTATATATTGGAGCAGCAGAGCTGTATAGAATGTAAATAACTGGATGATTGTGTATATGTTTTTTAATGTGGGAAAGCAGCTACAGAGAATAAATTATTGCAGTGGGATACATGAAAATAAGATGGCAGTGGCTGTGCATTACCTTGGTGCCATTTTGATGGCATTTTAAAGTATTCTTTTTTGTTTAAAAAGTAATCTGAATAATTCACATCTGTTGCATACTTTTACAAAGCAATCGATCATCCTGCCTCACATTAAATGGTTTGTGTATTGGATTTCATGGTTGTAGACTTTTAGAATGACCAAATTCAGAACGTAATTATTATATAGATCATCTAGATTAGCTAGATGCTACCGCAGACCAAAATACTTTCCTGAAATTCCATAGATTGTGCAGGATGACATATAATGATGATGAGTATTGCTGTCATGGATGGATTGGTGAGGGGTCTCTTCCAAATCTATCAATTAAACTGTTTGTATGTACAAAGCATGGAAGCTCAGAGTTTGCAATTAAATAAAAATAATGTATCCTTACCTTTTTCTGTATGCTGAAATCTTCAGAGGATTGTGGTCATTGTGGTTAGAAAGTCATTTGCTATTCATCACTAAAACTTGCAATTAAGAATCTCATACTGGAAAAAGAAAGCATGTGTTGTTCAGAATATTTGAAAATTTAACCCAAAAGCAAAAGTTGAGAACTTTGTGTTTCTAGAGCACAGCATTCTGGAAAATTACAGCTATTTCTCCTGTCTCTAATAAGCTACATCCTCTGTCTTAGATCACTTATAGTATATATGAGACTACACTAAGTAAGAAAACTGAGTTCCCTTTCTTGTACCGGATGGCACCAATGGAAGCTCTGCTGCATATGGGGATTGTGCGTCTGCTTCTGCATTTCAGATGGACATGGGTTGGCCTTATTGTCTCTGATGATGATGATGGAGAAAGTTTTATTCAAACCTTGAGACAACTGCTTACTGAGAATACCATTTGTGTTGCATTTTTGCACAGAACTGCAGCAGTAGACAGAACATCTCTCTTTACTTACATGAAAAGTATTTCAGAGATAAGTTCATCACTTCTTTCAACTCTAGCCAACATGATTATCGTCAGCACAGAATCTCGATGTCTATTTCCTTTAGATGCTTTATTAATTTTTTTTTAATTTACCAAAAAGGATCATATAGGGAAGGTCTGGATCATAACAGCACAATGGGATTTCATAAACACGATCACCACGGACAGCTTCTTTACAAAAACCTTCAATGGTGCCTTGACTTTTTTAGTTCCCACAAATACAGTGCAAGGATTCCCAGACTTCCTCAAGACCTTAAACTCAGATAAGACACTGATGAATTTTCTCTCTGTGTTCTGGCAATTTGCATTTAAGTGCTGTATGGTCAGTGAAAATATAAACAACTGTAAGATATGTACAGGAGAGGAGGAGCTGGAGAGCTTGCCTAAATATATGTTTGAAATTGACATGACCAGGCAGAGCTACAGTGTCTACAATGCTGTTTATGCTATAGCACACATATTGCATACATACTTCTTCAGACATAAAAGCATGCTGCATAGAGGCTTAGATCAGCTGACCGTTCAGCCATGGTAGGTAAGTCAGTGTTGTAATGAACTTCTTGATGTGTTTGAAACTGTGTCAGAAAGTGGAAACAATATTACAGATTGGGAAGGTCTGTGGCTCAGTGACAGTGCCTCTGCTTTGCATGCAGGCCAGGATCAATCCCCAGAATCTCCAATTAAACCCTCCAGGTAGAAGGTGATGTGAAAGACCTCTACCTGAGATCCTGAAGAGCCATTGCCAGTCTGAGTAAATAACACTGACCTTGATGAACCAATAATCTGATTCTTTATTCTTATTGGTTCATCAAGGTCAGTATAAGACATCATCCTGTGGTTGGTCACACAGGAACTCTTTGGAATCTTCAAAGAACCACAAACATACTAGACACTGGTGCATCCTGTGGCAATAAACGAACAAGAAGATCGGAGAAATTTGCTATGTATGTGCAATTCAAGTCTGTAGGATGTTTGTAGAAGACACTGTGAGAAGAGGGTCCATTTTGAATACTTTACAAAGTTATTATTCTTCTAAACTCATCATAAACTTTATGGAAATTCTCTGACTGTTTTATATTTTAGCCTTGCACTCTGTTTGTTACATAGGTGTTTGATTGTTTTCTCATACGCTATTTTATGTCTAACTGTCTTTAAGCTAGCTTATATTGTATTATATATGTTAAAAACAATTAAAAAATTAAATTAAAAAAAAAGAAGAGGGTCCATTCCCTAAACGTTGTGACATTCATTCCTAATGTAGCTCCACTCTAAAAAACATCCATTTTAACAACAGCACTGCAGAAGAAGTCCTGTTTGAAAATGGGGAATTATTGACTGGGTATGACATTGTTAACTGGATCATCTTCCCCAATCTCTCCTTCTTTCGAGTCCAGGTTGGAAAGATGTCACGAAGCCAAGAGTTCACTATCAATGAGGATGCTATTGTGTGGAATAGCAGATTTCACCAGGTAGGAATAAAATGCACATTTTGTCAGTTGCCATTTAATATAAATTTGCAACTGTCCTGATCTTGTAACACAACCTCTGGGGAATCCAGAGTCCATAAGTGAGGTGCCCCAACAGAAAATGCCCTATCCTTTGTGTTTCTTGAACTCACCAGCACAGAATACCTGCAAGACAACACAATGGTGCTGATTGTTTTGATCTTGCTCCTAAGCTATCCTTTAAATTGACCCATCTGTGACACTGGAGTTTATGATTACCAGAAGCAAGAGGTAAGGTGCTTAAACATGTAAGCAGGTGCATCTTGCTCCTTCCTTTTGATCTTTAAGCAATGATCCCTTTGTTGTACTCCACTCCTCCTTAATTCTAAGTATGCACATGCATATTGGTAAAGCATTGTAGAAGAATAATGATGATGTGATTACCTCCCTTCAGCAGAAGACATTCCCAGAATCGTGGCAATGATACCAGCATATGACAGTAAGATTGGGAGGAATGGAAAAGATATAAATATCATAGCCACTAGAAATACAGCCATTTCGGTCCTGGAAGTGTCCCCACAAGCCAATTTCAGTAATGGGGGGATGTCACAAAAGAAGTGATTGATCTCATTGGAACCACAAAAGGACATGGTGAACACCATACTGGTGAGACCAGAGGACATAAAAAATCCACTTAACCAAGGTGCCACAGCTAGACCCATGCACACTTTCCTGTTCATGAGGACAGGGTAGTGCAGAGGCTTACAAATGGCAACATAGCGATCGTACGACATTGAAGCCAGGAGAAAACATTCAGAACCACCAAGAAAGAATGTGAAATAGGTCTCTAGAGCACATCCTAGGAAGGAGATGGACTTGTTCCCAGACAGAAGATTCTCAAGCATCTTGGGGACATTTACGGATGTGTAACAGATCTCCAGGAAGGACAGGTTTCTCAGGAAGAAATACATGGGTGTTTGTAGTGCAGGATCAACCAACGTGAGGAGAATGATGATGAGATTTCCTGCCAGGATGATGATGTAGATCACTAGAAAAGTAGAAAACAATATGCTTTGCAGGTTGGGCTCATCAGAAAGCCCAAGAAGGATGAATCCAGACAGTGCTGAACTATTCTGTAGAATATTTTCTTCCTTTGTCAACATCCTGGAAAATAAGAGGAAATACACATAAATATATGAATTAAGGAGAAATGAATCATGTGGCTATACATAAGACTGGACCCAACCATCTTCTGTGCTTTTGAGAAAGCAAGGAACACTTTGAACACCATCAAAGAAAAGAAAATGAAAAGGCATCATTAGGGCTCCATGAACAAAATCCACGTGTGATGAGGATACAATAAGGGGAATTAAGTGTGTGAGTGAAAATATTGGCTGAATCTTGATCATAATACTGCTATTTTGTTCTGTCTAATTCAAAGAAAAACCAATGGCCTGAATTCTGCCAGTGAAGGATCCGGAATAAGAAGCCATCTGTGAACTACTCATAAACCACAAAATGACAAACAGGAATACACAGCATATCCACATATATAACCTCTGCTGCGATCAGTGGGGACATCCATCCATCCATCCATCCATACATACATACATACATACATACATACATACATACATACATACATACATACATACATACATACATACATACATACATACATACATACATACATACATACATACATACATACATACATACATACATACATACATACATACATACATACATACATACATCCATCCATACATACATACATACATACATACATACATACATACATACATACATACAAGACTGGACTGGACTATAGTGCTTACTTCTGCCTTTTGGTAGAGATAACTCTTTCAATAAAAACAAGTGGTATCTATGATTGCCCCCTCCCACTCCCGCAAACTCAGTACTAGTAAATCAAGTGATCTAAGGCCTGCCTAGAGCCCAAGATTCTTTTGTAGTACATGAAAAATTTCATATGTACCCTAAAGTACTATATAAATGCTAATAATAGGAACTAGCACATTTTCTTGTACTGTGAAGCCTCACTGATTCCTAGGGCAGATACTAGCATCTGCTTAAAACTCTCAAACTAAATCTGATGCAGCCTTCAAATATGGAACTTTGGTATTCAAGTATTGTCATCAAAATGCAGCAAACCTAAAAAAATAATCCTGCCCATTCCAATGGCTTAGTTGATATTAGTAGTAACCTCTAGAAATTCACTTAGTAGGCTTCTTCAAAATACTAACTAAAGCTTTCAAAGGAGATAACTTTGTACTTACTGGAGACTCTGATGTTCACACACAGTCAGCCCCCTCTGTTACTGAGTCATCAGCTGCACTGGTAGTTTCTTAGACACATTCATACAGAAGGGAGCTATATTGATTCTGAGACCTGTTTGTTCATCAGACCCAGTTGACATGCTTTATGCTCTGGGGCGATCTCCTCTGGGAACTTCTCTTGCAAGAAGATCACATAATTGAACTGGCTGAGATACAAAGTGTTTGAGGTGCTGTGTTGCCTGCAGAGGGAGGGAGGGAGGGAGGGAGGGAAGGAGCTCTTCTTGTGGTACTTTGAATCCGGTCTACTTTTTAAAATACAGGCAATTATAAAAACTGCAGATGGCCAGGACCATCATGGGAGAAGCATTTCTTCTTATACACAGGAATGAATGCATCTTCTGGTGCAGTGATGGTGAACCTTTTAGAGACCGAATGCCCAAACTGCGCCCCCAAACCCACTTATTTATCGCAAAGTGCCAACATGGCAATTTAACCTGAATACTGAGGTTTTACTTTAGAAAAACAACTCATACATTAACTTAAGATGATTCAAGCAAAGTAAGGAAAGCAATCCCAAATGCTTTCATTTACTTAAAATGATTTGGCAGAGAATTCAACACTTTAATGATGGTCTGGGCCTGGCTGGGGCGATGGCACACGTGCCCACAGAGAGGGCTCTGAGTGCCCCCTCTGGAACCCGTGCCATAGGTTCACCACCACTGTTCTAGAGAGTCTATAGTTTTATTGACTGAGTATCCATCCATCCATCCATCCATCCATCCATCCATCCATCCATCCATCCATCCATCCATCCATCCATTCGTATTTATAGCCCACCCTTCCCAAAAGTGGGAAGCCATGTGATTTACCTGTTGATTTTTCAACTAAACCATTAATTATTAGCGGAAACACCTATATAATGATAGACCTGACCAGGAAAACAAAAACAGGGCACCACTCATCAGGGCCATGCAGGGAGGATAAGAGGGCAATCATATTCCCTCCTGTACTTCAACCTATATGTGTTTAATCTTTGGGATCATCTCTGACTATATATAACTAATTCCCAACAGTCCCCTATGTGCAGATATTTATTTCTGCAAATAGGGGCATAGTTACCCCAAACAAGTTTTTCTGCAAAGCTGGGTGACTGCTAGGTTTGCAGAAAAATCTGAAAACTTTCCCCTTCCTGCCAGTGCTGCCCTTGTAGGCAGCGCCCAGCACAGCTTGCAAGCACAGGCAACACCAAACCTGCCATCCTCCTTGTAGATACCAGAGCACTGTTAAATGTGCTCTGCCCCGGTTGGCATCTAGAGGCACCCCTACCAAGAGTACTATAAGTCTTGTTGGTTTCGCTGGGGCCAACCACTCTGCATGAGAGTGGAAAGACATCCCCCTCACTGTGGGCAATCTTTACACACATGTAACCACCTACAATAACCAGGGAGAAGATGATGGGATCTTAGGGTTCTCATTCTTCTGTGACCATGAAATTACCATTGATCTGGTGAATGGCTTACTCTGGAAGCTCCAGGGTGGACCTAGCCTGGTCAAAGCGGTCCACCGGTGCATGGCATTAAAAGCTCCCCTATCCCTATCTCCCCTCTCTGAGGACCCTTGGGTCCAGGAATTCCCTGAGGTTTGAATACGTGATAAGGCAGAATGTGGGACTGTAAAGAACTTATGTGTACTCATTGAAGGAAGAGACCCTCCACCTCAAAAGCAGTATAAGTATCCAGCGGAGGCAGAGATAGGGATTGCCAAAACCATTGAAGGGCTTCTTGAATGGGACATCATTCTCCCTATGCAATCCATCTGCAATGCCCCATTGTGGCCAGTTCTAAAGTCAGATGTAGTCACCTGGAGAATGACTGTCAATTTCAGGGCTCTAGACACTGTGACTCCCCCTGAAGCCCCCGTAGTAGCAAAGTACAATGAAATCCTAGCCGCCATTGCTGCAGGGTCATGATATTACAGTGTAGTTGATCTTGCAAATGTGTTCCACTTGATGTGCCTCCACGAGTTGTGCTGGTACAAGTCTGCCTTCACTTTTAGAGGTCAGCAGTACTCCTTCAAACAAACCCCACAGGGTTTCCATTCAAGCCCTGCAACCAGCCTCTCATGACCACATGCTCAGCTATATACATAGTATTCTTGTCCATGCCCCACTACAGAGATGGTGCAGGATGTCACTAGGGAAGTCCTGAACCTCCTTAGGGAAACAGCTTCAAGGCAAGTCAAAAAAAAGCCCTGCTAGTACAGACACATGTAAAATACTTAGGGCTAGTGCTAGGCAGGACCCCAACACATGGAAGTTATTTCCAAGCTGCCTGCTCCCACAGACGTTCCTTCCTTGAGATACTTCTTGGGTACTTTGATTTTCTCTGAAGGTTTTATTGAAACCTTTGCAGAAAAGGCATTCCTCCTCTACACCATTCTAAAGAAAGATACCCCTTGGCATTAGGGACCAGAACAGCAGCACACTTTTGCTGTCTTTAAACAGAGCTTAGCTTCAGCCCCAGCTCTACCACACCCAGACCCGAATAAAAATTACTGCATACAGCTTGTCAACTCTGAGAGAAGCGTAGGAGCAACCTTAATCCAGCATCAGGCCAAGTGAATAATAGCTTATGCCTTCTGGAATCTGTCCCCCATGGAAATGAAGTTCACCCCATGTGAGAAGATCTGCCTGGCATTAGTCTGGAGCCTTACTCACTGGGAGTTCATAATAGGAGGTGCAAAGGTAATTGTGCAGACAATGCACACTCCTCTTAAATACATCCTCTAGGGGGAAATTCAGGACAGTCAAGTCTCAAATGCTAGAATTGCCCAGTGGACTTTGGCCCTAGTTAACAAGGGGGTGAAATATAAGAAGGAACAGAATGAATCCCTTGCCCCATATAGCCTTATATTTACAGGGGAAGAGCACAAATGCCCACTACCCATAGTGGAGCATATGCCCTGGCCCGCAACAATGGGAGTGCCTCTAGAGATGAAGCCAAGCAGCAAGGTTTTATCTGTTGGTTCTGTGATGGCTCATCCTTCCATGTTGACGGGACCCCTAAAACTGGCTTTGGAGCCATAGAAGTACAGGATGGATTTGTCCTACAGAGCCCCATCAACCCACATTCAAGACAAGTGGTTGAGGTGGCGGTGCTTCAGTCAGTACTTGAATTCGAGCTTCTAGACAGTCCCTTGGCCATTTTCAAGGATTCTGACTGGACTGCAAAAGCCACCACAGTTTGGCTCCTTCACTGGCAGAAATAAGATTGGAAGAACAGTGAGGGGAAGCCCATTGCACACTTGCAACACTGGATGCATGTGGTTGCCATTCTACACGAGCGCACTGTGCCCAACCAAATATCTCATGTGAAAGATCACCAGAAAAATTCCACGGACATTGCCTATTGGAATGATCAGGCTGAACGACTAGATAAGGATGCAGCGCAGATGGAAATACTTCCTAAAAATCCCACCTACCTCCTTCTGCCAGTCACCACCAGGAGTCAATCCCATTCAAGGGCCCTGATTCTCCTGTGTTTTTAGATTTAGGAGAACTCCAGAAGAATGATGCTAATATCACCAACCTTTTGCACACAGGAAAGGATCCTACAAGCAGATACCAGATAGAGGTACAGGAAGGTGTAGTTTGGGCAATAGACAACACAGGCACCCATCACTGGGTTGTCCCTGTGGCAGTCCAGGGAGATTTAATACAATTCATCCATGAACAAGGTCACCGAGGTAAAGATTTAATGCTAGAAAGGGTGAAAGAAGTTGGATGGTGCCCAGGCATGTACCAGAAAGTTGCCCAGTGGGTAGACAATTATCTCTCCTGTACTATGGTAAATACCGACCCCTCCAGACCAAAAGCGCCCTTCCCACACCAACACATTGAGGGACCTTGTGCTAGGATTAATTTTATCAGACCCTTACCCAAAACTGCCCGTGGAAACAAGTACTGCTTTACAATAACAAGCAGGCTATCCTGAACACAGCTGTGATGGACTCTGGGCTTTGAATTAGCCTGCAAGGAAAGACACCTGCAGTCAAGTGAATAGCAGGGGTGATGTAATTCTGGTGCAGAACTTTGTGGGGGGGGATTCTAATGATTAACAAAAACTCTCTTGACAGTTGGAGTTTGGCCATTGAGATTGTGAGGGTTTTTTTGGTTGGTGGGTATTGTGTCAGGGGACTGACAAATCATGTTGGATCTCACTGAGTCCAAGGAGTAAATGAGATTTCTCTACAGATTCCAATATTAAGGGAATCTGAGAAAAGCCAAACAAGTTTCTATACCACAGTGATATCTAAGGAGACTTAAAAGGGAAAATAAGCTCCTGGTGGTTAAACAAGAAATTCACGTTATTCTCACATTGAATCTATACCCTCCTTGGGAGCAATTTGGGTTTAGTGGATTTAGTGTGTTCCAGGAGGGTTTATAGGAGTAGTGGGTGTCCAAAAATATTTTTAAAAAGGAAAAGAAAAGAGGGGACAAAACCAAGGCACAGTGGAGGTATTTCTTTGTGAAAGTAGAGAGTACCTGAGAAATCCAAATGGAAAACAGCAATCTAGTACAGCACAGGTGTTGAGATTAGAGAGTGTGTGTTTTGTACTATAGCATCTGAAGTGAATGATTATAAATGAACTAACCTAAAGCTGAACTATGCCATTTGAAACAACGTATACACAAGCATCAGCTTTTCCCTTGTATACATTTTCCCTGCCTGCCTGTTCTTGTAAAAAAAATGGTCAGTTTTCTTTATTGTTCCTTGTCGTGGGTGCCTCAGTTTCTGACAGAGCTAAGTATCTGACAGAGTTAAATCATAAACTTCATCCCAGAAAAAAACTGTGGTGCTCTGTCAGCAAGCTGCCAATTGTATTTTCTTTGCTTATGAGTTGTGTCCAACCCCCCCCCTCGCCTTCTTCTTTGGTAATCCATATGTGCATGCCCACACCTAACCCCATGCGTTTAGTTGTAACTGCATTCCTTTCCGTATACGCTTGCAGAGATTTGAAGGAACCTTGTCAGTAATGCAGCAGGTGGTTTGCACTTGGAGGCTTTTTGCTTAGTCTATCATGCAATGTAGCGTGGGAATAGAATACTTGTTTAATTAGTTCTAACCATTGTGTTCCCAAGGTTTGGGCGCGAGGGGAATCTTTTTGCGCTAGCGGGAATCATATCTATTGGCCCAAACTATTTTGAATTTCCTTTATTATACCTGTATCAAGCACATTGTGTCATTCCTGACAAAGACTGTGTTCTACCCGTTTCATGGCTTTAATAAAATAAAACCTTTTTGCAAGAGTGTATCTTATGATCTGCTTTGATTCTGACATGCTCATGAAAAGTCACAGAGATTAACATTTATAAAAAGATCTCATCAATAAGTGGCTGGGTGTGTGGATGATCTGTGTGGGTACCAACCCTGAAAGAGGAGGGCAGATAGTGTCAATGGAATATATATATATTTTTTAATAGTTTTATTGAATTTCCGCAAATATAACAAAATAGCACAATAATGAGTGGTCACTACAAATTGGAAACAACAAGAAACAAACAATCAATCAATAATCATCTTTAACAGAAATGTGCATACTCCAGATATAGACTATCGTGTGGTTCTTCTTTCTCCCTCTTAAGGTATGTTAACAACGGATACCAAGTTTCAGCCAATTTTGAGGAATATGATGGACGTTCTGCAGATTTAATTGACTCTGAAATCTTGGCCATAACAAAGAAGTCCCACAATTTGTTTTTCCATTGAGAAATCGTTGGCAGCTTTGAATGATTCCACTTGGCTGCCAACAGCAATTTGGCTGCAACTAACAATATTGCTATAAGCTCTCTCTTGTTCTTTGGAATATTATCATCATGCCAAAAGTTCAGCAGTACCGTTTCAGGAAGTAAAGGAACATCGTAATCGTGTCAATGGAATATAAGATTCCTCCAGCACGTGAAAATTTAAAGGAACAAATCCTCACATAATCCAAAATAAGGCAGTTTGTCATAACAGTTCACACATTTCTATTAAAATCAATAGGATTAGGAGGGTGTATCTCTGTTTAGGGTGCACTGAATTTATATACAAAATGATCTTCACTAAGCTGCTACAAGGCATGTCAGAGAGGGCCTTCACTGCTTCCTGTTTGTGCATGTTGCTCCAGAGATGGCAGCTGGAAACTGGAGGGAAGAGGGCTCTCAGCACAAGGTTAATACAAAATCATGGATTAGGTGAAGATCAAACACCAGAAGAGTCAGCAGTTTTCTGAACTCTGGTGACCTAGATCCTGAACAACTTCAGTGGACTCGGAAGGGTATGACTTTCTTTAGGAATGGCTACATTTAACACAGATAGGACTCTGGAATAATAAAAAATTATTATTATTATTATTTAGAACACAATTTTATTTTTCATGAAAATATTGACATGTCATCAGTTCCATTAATGTTTCAATTTTTACCCCCAATATCCCCACTTTACTCTCCCCCTCCCCGTGGCTTCCCACAATGCTTCCCCCCTCGTCACTCCAGTACACCTTAAGATAACATCATATTCTAGTTTCAATATTGTTCTAAATATAATAGATTATGCTTTATATCCCAGTTCTTTTCTAGGTAAATTTTAAAGTCTCTCCATTCCTCATAGAATTCCTGATCTTCTTTGTTATTCAATTTTTTCGTAATTTTGTCCATCTCAGCCATAAACAAAGTTTTTTGTATCCATTCTTCTAACTCTGGAATTCTTTCTTGTTTCCAACATTGTGCATAGAGTATTCTCGCCGTTGTAATCAGGTACCAAAATAAAGTTCTTTTTGTAATATTCAATTCTTCCATTTTAAGTCCTAAGAGCAGAATTTCTGGTGCTTTTTTAAAGGAACATTTCAAAAAAATTTGCATTTCGCTGTGAACTCTAGTCCAAAAGTCCACAGCTTTTTCACATGTCCACCACATATGATAAAATGAACCTTCATGTTTTCTACATTTCCAACATTTGTTAGAAAAGTTTTGGTTCATGTTGGCTATTTTCTTGGGTGTCATATACCACCTGTACATCATTTTATAACAATTCTCTTTCACATTGGTACATGACGAGATCTTGATCGAATTTTTCCACAGATATTCCCAAGAGTCCATAGAGATCTCAGTATTAACATTTACTGCCCATTT